CAGGAGCCCAAAGCTCAGCTCTCCCTGTTGCCAAAGCCAGGCTGCTCTAGGGCTGCTGCAGCAGCAGCAGAAGAGAAAGGAGGGATGGTTTGCAGCAGAACTGGCCTCAGCAGAGGGTTAACAGCCCTGACTCTTGTCTGGGTTGATCAGAACACCCCAGGCTGCCTCCAAACGCTATTGCCCCAAGAAGATGTGGGACAGCCAGTGAAGGCACATCCCCAGGGACAAGAAGCTCCTGTGAGTGAGGGAGGAGGTGCTCATCAAGGCAGGAGGTGAATGGCACCACAAAAACACCCAAGGGATTTCGTACCTGCCCATAGCAGGATTTGGTCCCTCCTACTTCCAGAGACAACTAAGGGGAAAAAATCCTCCAGGAGGCTTTGCCATGTGCTTGGGGGAAAGATGAGTGATGAAACATCACAGATTTTCTGATAGCCAGAGTAAAGTCAGTAGGTAGTGAGTGCATGCACTAATCTATGGCAGAGGGACTTAAAAACCCCACATCAGACTTTTCTACACTGGAAAGCACATAAAAGGAACAATTCTACATCCTCCTCTGGAAAGAGAGGCTCAGGCTCCCTCTTGTCCCCCAGGCTGTGTCCAGGATACCTGGGGCTGGTTCTCACCTTCCCACAACACTCCTGTTAGTCACCCCAGCTGGCAGCTCACCTTACCCCTGACAGTTTTGCTTGGAACACAATTAATTAATTTGTTTTACTGGCCTGTGTGCTCGTGTCTGTGGACAAAGAGGAAATAATAATTGACATTAAAGATAGGAAAGGGTTTTAGTAGTGTCAAGCACCAAGCATCCAACTGCTTGGCCTGGGGCCCCAGCAAAACGCAGTGGAAACTGAGGCTGCATTTCCCCTCTGCACACGTGGGAGGATGAAACCACAGCGGTGCAGAGGTCCTGCCACAGCCATATGTGCATCTTGCACAACCCCTCCACACGCTTTTCTGCTCTGCCTCAGGCTCTCACACACAGACGAAGGTCAATTCGTCACTTACCCGCCCACCCTCACCCGGAACAAAGTAATCAAGCCAGATCTGTCTGCAGACAGGAAAGCCTGCAGGTATTTTCAACTCGGCTTACTAATTTGTTTGGGAAACAAGGACCTTGGTCACGTCCTTCCACCTAGATCTAGTTTTGAGGCAGTTATTGAAGGTTTAACCCAACTTTCACATGGGTAAATAAATGCCACATGCCCTCTTGCTTTCCAGGCTGGAGAAACATGTTGGTTACTCCAATCAACAGTAAAGAAAGCAATGCCCTTGTAAATACCTTCAGATTGTGGTGTAACAGATGAGCAAAGGTTTATCTCAAAAGATATTTGACCTTCTCGTAATATTTCCTATTATAGGCCTCCATCCCTCATAGGTGTTTCCCAGACTTTAGCAGATGGGAGTCTGACCCAAACCCATCAGCAGTCTAAAGTGCTCAGTTTTCATCAGTGAATTGGAACTCCACTGGTCTCTGTGTCACCAAGTATATCCTCGAGCTCAGGGCCATCTGGGCAGCAGGTCCTTTACCACAGCCAGGAAAACATGCACCAGTGACCCTGATGAATTCAAATGACAGTGTCTAAAAACGAGGAAAACCATTTGGGCAACCAAGCAAGGAGACAGGCCTTTCACCTGGGCACTGAATTCAAGAAGCCTTAGGAAAGCAGGCAGAACAGACACTAAACAGATAGAAAGCACCTAATAAATGGTCATCCTCAACCTAATGTTCCAGTGTGTCTTTATCTAAAATTCTAATACAAAGAAACACATAAAAAGTAAGAAGGAGAGGGTCATATTTGCCAAACCAAAGGGGATTTTGCCCCCTTATGAAATAAAGGCTCACAGCCACATTTGGTGTTTCCGTATCCCCCTGACAATATAACCCTAAGGCACACAGAGACCTGCACTTCCCACTGGAATAAAGAGTTCCTGCCTTTCCTTTTCCAGAAATCACAAAACTGACCATCGTAATCCCTCTGGGTATGGACAGGAAGAGCCTCAGTGTCAGCACTAAATTGCTGGCTCTTCTATCCTGTTGTGACCTCTAAGCATCACCTATATCTTCTTCAGAGCAGGACATCTTCCTTGGACAGGAGATCTGAGCAGGGCCTGGCTGGGATAGCAGAGCATCTGCTGAGAGCTAAAGAGCCAAAGCTGAATAGCTGGGGCCCAAAAACTAGCTGGCTTCCTAAAAACCATGCTCCAAAATTTCTGGCTGATCACCTTTAATCCCCCCACAGCCTCCTCCACCTGTCAGCCATAAGGAACCACTTCTCTTGGTCCTATTCCCACTGAGTCCCTTATTCGTTATTAATAGAAGACAATTTGAATGATAATTAAAAGCATGTTAGAGGGAACCTTCAGCCACTGCTTGGGATCAAAATGTCAATCTATGAAAGAGATGCCCTGCATCAGGGTTAGACTGTACCTACAGCTGTATCACATCCCTCTTCCCCCTTCCTCTGCCACATCCTCACCTACTGCAGGGGTTTTCCTTGCAGCTAAGACAAGGTGACTTCATTTTTTGAAAACCCTCATTTTCCCAGGAACACCCACCCCCCCCCCC